ATCGGAAACTCCGAATTCCCGCTTGAAATCAGCTTCAAAGTTTGCATTTTCTTGATTAGAATCCATAACCCAGTGCTGTTGCTTCTCTTCCTGATCGTACCAGAAGGGGAGCTTTAGTAAGTCGTTGCCATCGAAAGAACTCTGACTCTGGTCATCGCCATCGCCATCTTGACGTCGCCGCTTTTTGGAGCTCTGATTCACACTGAAATTATCCATGTCCGAGAAGAGACTATAGATGGGCAATAACTCCTCCTGATTAAGAAATGGGAACGAGGTAATTTCCATGAAACCCAAGAACAGAACAGAAACAGAAACAGATCAAAAAATCTCAATCTGGGTATGAAAGGAAGAGGTCATTCAATTCAAAGAAGCAAATGTGAAAAGAGAATTGGGAAGTGATAATGGGAATTGGGGGAGTGGATGATATATATACGAAGGAACAGAGAAGAAATGGAGATTGGGGGAAGAAAAAGAAACGTGTGGGTGAGTGGGAACGCGTAGGAGATTGTTTGACGGCGACTGGAAGATGGACCTTTTTTTTTAATTATAAATTATTAATTTTTTGGATATAATTTTAAAGGGGCGTAGCGGTACGCGGTGTGGGAAGGCGAGTGGAGGAAGATGGCTCCGAAGGTTCCAGTTTTTTGGTTCCACAGCGTAAACACGTTCACGCGGACCGGACCGCCACGGCTCCGGATCTTGGAAGCTTCTTCGCTGTTGTTCATCTTCTTTATTATTCTTCTCCAATTTTCAATTATAAGCTAACCTCTCCTCTTGTAATTATTACTAACTTTGAATTAACACAATTAAAGTGTTTTCCTTTCCTTCCAAGTTTCGGTTTTTTTTTTTTTGCTAGTTCAACGACACGTGGGAAGGAATATTCAATCTTTTGGTTGGTTACATTCAAATTATTAATTTTGTATATTTCAATGTTACCTTTAAAAGGTTGTTTGTTTTTCGATAATCTAAATACATTGGAATATTTATAAGAATATTTTCATGACTACTTGAGAATAGATGTATTGTTAATAACGGTTTTTTGAAGTGTTTTCTTTCCCTCCAAGTTTGGTTTTTTAATTTATTTTAGTTGGTTCAAGAACACATGGGACGAGGATTCAACATTTTAATTGGTTATGCTCAATTTAGAAGTTTTTTAGACTTTAATGTCGTGTGTAAAAGGCTGGTTGTTCTTCGATAATCTAGATATATGTCCTCGATAGGAATATTTATAAGAATATTTGGATGAATGCATGTGAGAATGGGTAGTTACTACTATTTTTTTTAAATCACATATATTTATTATCTTTTAGTATATAATTTTGAAGCAACATATTTTAACGACCAACAAACATATGACATGTTTCTTCTTAAAGAAAAAAAAAGAAATTTGATAATACGATAAATAAATTTTACCAAGATAACATAAATGATACATGCTTATCTTTTTTTTTTTAACTACTCAAGTTGAAATTGAAAATTTATACTTGATATTAATTATTTTTTAAAAAATCTTATATAAATATAAATTCAGTTGTTCTAAAAAATAACATACACAAATTATCACATCCGAAATTAATTAAAAAACAAATGATTAAATCATTAAGAACAATTCTATTATATAAATGTAAATTAGATTAAATCAATATATAGATTATATGAATATTGGTAGAAACATTTTCCAACCTTATATAAATTTAAAACGTCCCAATAATAATTACGTAAACTAAACGAAATATTTTTAAACATCTTTATAAATTTTCCAACAAAATAAACCTCACTATCTAAATATGTCAAACCGTCTAAAATTCCAAGCATATAAAATTTCAGATCACATCTATATTCTCAAAAGAGACGACCCCTAATAGAATTTTGAATTTAGAAAAAAAAAATGTCTATTAAATCTCTAAATTTTATAAATATGTAGGGATTTGAACCTCGAAATATATATATCTCACTTGGTTAATTACATGTACAATTGAGTTGGTGACGTTTTTTTTTCCTAATTCCGTCTCTATTATTTTGTTTCGAAAATTAGATCGATGTGAAAGTAAAAACTCGTACGCGTGAGTATTTCTTTTTTCTTTTAACCTATAAATATTATTTTCATTAAAATTGAAAACTATATATATAGTAAAGAAGGAAAAAAAAATTATGCCGAGTGAGACCATGCACAATACAACTAGGCATCAAGCATATCCTCCCTTGCAAGTATCATCTACCTAGTGAATCCAGCTATCAAGTATCAACTTAGACTCAAATTTTGTTTTTATGTATTTAAAAATGACACATCAAATAAAGTAAGGTTTAAATTTCAATTAGTCAAATAATTTAAGATTTTCTCTATTTTGATTCAATTTTTGAATTTGTTTCATTTTAATTTATATGTATATTCATCACGGCGGACTTTAAAATAATTATCATTTATGGTCTTTACTATATTATTATTTTTAACAAATCGATAATGCATAGCTTCAGATGTGTATACTAACGTAATAATGTACTTAAATCTTGAATACGAAGATAAGGTAGACAAATACATGGTAAAATAGTATTTCAATAATCAAAATAGTCACTTGTTGGAAGGTTGTGGGTTTATAATAGTTATTGTTGTTATTATTATTATTTTAATTTGGTAATTAAAATGTTCTAAGATTGAAACTGAGACAAATTTGAAATTTCAATTACTAAAAATAATTTAAATCAATAAATTAAATCTACCGAATAATAAATTATATATATATATATATATATATATATATATATATATAATTTTCTAAAAGTCAAAAGTGCATGCCAATTGTGCCTGACAGCTGACATATAAACACTTTTAAAGTTTTGAGGTAGATGGTTAATATATTTAAACAATTATTTTTATTAAATAAATTTTTGACTTGAATCAATCAAATTGTTGATCTTTGGCAGAACTATACTTAAACTTTCAACTCCACGTGGACTACATTTATGTTACAGCTAAAATCATAAAATATTCAAGAATATAAATAATTAAGTTTAAATTATTTGGGTCTAAATTTTTAATATATTTCAAATAAGTTCCAAAAATTAAAAATGTGTATCGAGTCTTTAAATTTTAAATAAATAATAATTTTAATTATTACCGATAAATTTAATGTTCGTAATAACCAATCTAAGAATCCATATATCAACATGTAACAAATAACAAGAAAAATTAAATGGTTGTTTGTTGTTGTTTTTTGCTTTTGTATTTTTCAAGCTTCCTAGATTAAAATATAAAATTTGAATGTTCGATAACTAAAATACAATAAACTAAAAAAATTATGAACTAAGATAGACTTCTAGCAACTTATAAATTAAAATAGAACTATCTTAAATATTAAACCAATAAACAAATAAATAAAACTTAGATTAAAGTATAAGTTATCATTGAACTTGACAATTATATGTAATAGGTCTCTAAAATTTTAATTTGTTTAATTTTGTATTTAAAAGATTGAAAAAAATGTTAATAAATACTTTAATTTTTAATAGTGTGCCTTGTAAGTCCAATTTTAAAAAGTGTTTCATCCCATTAAATATATTTAGAACGTAAAATTGAAAATTCAAAAGGAATAAAAATAAAAGTCATATACATATTAGATAGCTGGTAAAATAAAAATATTAGATAGCTGGTAAAATAAAAATATATTATACGAAATATTGGAAGTCTAAATATCTATTAAATAATTACGATTTGAGGAATAAATTTATAATATTGGTTTGTTTTATACATATTTTTTTTTATCAAATTATATAGATATTTATAGAGTTATAGGTTTCGATTTTAATTCTCGAATTATACTTATAATTTAAAAAAAGATAAAAACATTTAGCGCAGCCCCCAACGTGGAGCACGCAATTGTAGCAGCAATTGGCATGCTCTAATGATCCAGCTGACGCAATCATACGTCATAAATACATATCAATAAATTTTATTTTATTTCATTCTTTTATGCTAAAATTTAAAATATATCTTATGGCCCTGGGTAGTTGACCTTCGACAAACAAACAGTTGGCAGTCAAATAGCGCAGGCAGTTATTCTTTTAAACCTTTATTTATTTATTTTTCTTTTCTTTTTTAATTATAAATCAGATTTCAAGTGGGAAATTAGTGAAATTGTTTATTATTTATTTGCATTGTAATCCACTAATGGCAGAGATGGTTGAGATTAAAAAAATGAATATAAAAATATGGTTTGAATTTGGGAGGCATTTGAAGCTTGATTCTTGGATTATCTACTGGTTTGATTTGTTTTAACTAAAGAAAAACCCTTTTGAAAATTAAAAGGTAATATTTAGTAATGTTATTATCAAGCTTAGTTTGTAAAATAAAGGAAACTAAAATAAAAAATGTTCATTTTCATTTTATAGTTCTTTTTATTAAAAACAAAATAAAGTAGATATTTTAAAGTTTAGGTATGGAATAAATTTTTTAAATTTCCAATAAATATTATGTCTAGAGATAACGTATTGTTTGTTTTCAATGGTGTTTAGGTTTGGTTTATAATTATTTTTTATTTACAAAATTCGAATCTTTATTTTATTTTATTTAGGTTGAAAATGCTACACAAAACTTTGAGATGATCTACTTTTTCTATTTTTAATTTAACTGGAATTTCGATAAATATAGTTAAAAATGGGATTGCCTTTTCTTTTCTTTTCTTTTTTTAATTAAAACAAGTACCTTACTTCTTCTTTTCTTTTCCAATTTAATCAAATTCTTTTGACCAAAGAAAAAAAGCCACGTGAGATCACGCGCCACGCGGAAGGGTGTAACTGAAAATTTCCGGATATTCTTTTTCTTTTTTCTTTTCTTTAGGAATTTCCAGATATTCATTTGTTGGAGGGTAAAGACGACGAAATATCTGAAAATATTATATATATATATATATTTCATTCTTTGTCTTTTAAAGACATAATGGGACCCACGCGTCAAATGATAAGATGCGTTTTTTTTAAAGACTTTCCCATACACTTCTTGATCGTTGATCCTCGGCTTTACTTCCTTTTAGTTATTAAAGTTTATGATTTATTATATTATAGCCAGCTTTTAAAATCTCTATTCACGTGGTCAAATTTAAAAAAATAATAATTATTTTTGGTTTACAAATTTTTTAAATTTCTAAAGTGTGTTTTAATCCTTTAACGTAAAAAAATATAATTATCTTGACTATCACTGTTATTCTATATTCTCACTCATTCATCTGATCTATATGATTTTAATTCAAAGTTAGATTTATTTGTTTGTTAATTTGCTCGTAATGATAAAATTAACCAATAATGACTATATATTTTTTTAATGGTGTATCAAAATAGACATATTATGATTTTAATAACCAAAATTTATTAAAATAAAGAAAAAAGGGTTTAATGACCAAAATATAACAGATGAAAGTTTAAATTCGGTTCCCTTTTGTTTTGGTGTTATGTTTTTTAAATCAAAGCGTGTTGTTTTTGTTATGCACCTTTTTGAAAAATTAAAGTAAAAGTCTGACTACAAAAAGGAAAAAACAGTATTTGATTATTATTTTTGTTTAGTTTAGATAAGAAACCAAATATTTCTAAAAAATACACAAATTTTAAATAGAAAAATAAAAATGAAATCAATTGGTATATTTTGGAAGCTTGATTATTATCATAAGTTGAACCTTCAAAATTGGACGCTAATATGAACATAGCTAAAGTGGATACGTCATTTGTTATAATTTGTTGATTGTATGATCGACACATCCATAATTATTGAAATGACATCTAAGGCTAAGCGAGAAAGTATTAAAGGGAGTCGATTACTGAGACAAGTGGTGATCTCATATTGTAGCTTGTCGAGAGAGAGGAAGCATTCAACCACCTTTCTAATATAGCGAGTGATCACTTTGTCTGACCATGAATATAAACAGTTGATAATATTACTCATCCCTTACGAAATCAAACTAAAAAAACAAAGAAAAAAATTAATTAAATATTAAGATTGTTCAAGATTGTTTTAAATTTAAATTTGCCTATTTAACCATTATAATCAACAAACACATAAAAGTAACACGAAATTTACATCAAACATGAATTTTTTTTTTTAAATTGAGTTGATTTTACTATATACCTAGAACGCGTAAATTATATGTTAGATTTTCAACTTTGTGATCATTAAATTTAAAATACAAAGTCAATTAGAACTTGTAAACCTAGTATAACGACCCACCCTTGCTATTTTATCAACGAAAAATAAACAAAAAGAAAAATCAAACATTGGAAACCATCAACTAGTGTAAAATAGGGACAAAAATGGGCCAAATCTCCCATTTAAAACGTGGTGAAAATTGAAAAGACTAAAATTATGTCTCACGTGCAAAATGTTTTGCACTTGTATATTTATGTCCTCCATCTCCCTCTTCATCCTTTCCACTTTGTTCCATTTAGGATAAAAGTTATTGCTTTGATTCTCAAATCTCACTATCCTTCTTTTTTTTCTAATTTCATTCGCTTTCAATCAATTTTAAATCTCCATATAAGTTCCATTACATTCTTTCAACGTATTCGTGTTCATTCATAATATATGTCAAATTTATCTCATAACTCTTTATACATATATATTTGGTATCCACAAGTCTTTGACAGAGGTCGTTGGTATGTCTCGATCATATTATATTTGGTTATCAAGAAAGTTTATAAAATATTAAATTTTAAGTAGGTAGCTATAACAGCTTCAACTAGTTACTTTTACTTTTTGATGGAACATTATTATTATTTCTATTTATTCGCACCACTAAATTTTTGACACGTATAATCTTGTGAATTTTTTTTTTTCCTTTGGCCCAATGACCATTGGGTCAACTCCATTGTATTTGTTTTTTCTCTCTTATACAAAAGTTAATTTGGAAACTTTGATTTTGTATACTTCATAAATATGTGCATGTTGAGTTTGCGATATTAAAAATTGTAAAGGTAGGTGTAAAATATTAAATTTATGGTAATTTAGTAACCTAGATAACTATTTTGTTTTTGGTTTTTGTTATTAAAAAATAGAATTTGTTGATAATCAATTCAATTTTATGTTAAATTATTTTAAAATTATAGGTAAATTTAAAAAAAAAGTTTTTAAAAATGTATTTTTATTTTTTAAAATCTGATTTTTTCTTCCAATACTCATACTTTTTTTTTCTTTCTCATATTTATCTCTAAAAAAATTATTTCTCATTCTAAAATATTTTTATTTATAAAATTTATCTCTGCCAACTTTATTTTTCTCTCTCTACAATTTTTATATATTTTATTATTATTATTCTCTCTCCAAATTTTTATATATTTTTGTTTTTTTCTAAGAGACCAATTTCATTTCTCTCTCTAAAAATTTAATAATTTCCTTAACGTTTTTCTCTCTAAAATTTCATATTTTATAACGTTTCTTTCTCTTCGTAATTTACTTTTTCATCTGAAAATTATATTTTATTTGATCGTTCAATTTTTTTACTATAATTTTTATTTATCTTTGTATTTATTTATTTTCTCTAAAAATTATATTTTGAATCTTATTTTTATCTCTAAATTTGTTTCCACTGTAATTTTTCTCTTTCTTTATAATTTCTTTTTTTCTTTAACTTATCTTTTCCTCTCCGAGTTTATTCGTTTTCTCTAAAATTTCACTATTTTTGTCATTAACTTTTCTTTCACTATTTTTTTTTCTAAATCTTTTTATTTATCTATCTAAAATTTATCCTCCAAAAGTTTATTTAAATGCAAGTCCCGATCTCGTCTCCGTCCTCGATTCCATTTTTAAATAATTAATATATATATATTTATTACCCTTTTTGTATACTTAAATTCTAAAAATAATTAAAAAAAATTATAAAACTGATAATTTTTCTCGAGACATCTCTTGGACCCAAGAACGAGGTGGAGACGGAGATTAAAAATTTTAACGAGAATGTGGGAGAACATCCTCACTCGCACCCATAGTCATCTCTACTCTACATAAAATTTTATCTTATTTTCAATTTTTTAACTTTTTAAAGACAAAAAACTAAAAATGGTTATCAAAGCTTTTATTTTTTAAAAACTAAAAACCAAAAACCAAAAATTAAAAACGAAAAAAATAAAAAACTAAAAATTAAAACTAAAATAGTTATTTAACGAAGCCTAAAAATAAATGGTTCAAATGCATATTTTTATGTTTGTATAAAAAATCGTGATACTTTTAAAATGTCTGATCCTAAATTCTTTTAAGGTTGACCATGAAATCATGAATTCACATCACAGTGATCACACCACACAAACTAGTTTCAATATTTGCAAATTAGGACTATATTCTTCATATTTACAGAAGTGGCCAGAACAAGGTGGGGTGTGGTGTGGCTTTCGTCGTTCTCCAGCACACAAAAATAAATTGGAATTTGCAGGAATCTTCTTGAGGTCAGAAATCAGAATCAAGAACAGAGACGAGAAGTGGCCTAAATTGATTTGCGAATTCAGGCGATTTGGGCCTAATCGCTACTCCAAAATGGCGTCCCTTCCCAGCCCATCAACGCCACCATCGGCCATTCATCTGAGACCGAAGGTATTCTTTTCTGCTACAGTTTTTCCGGCCGTATTGAAGCTTTAACCGCAGTTTTTCATCGTCTATTTCTGTTGAATCATATTGACTGTGTTTATGTTACTTACAGTAGCGAATTTGGTGGTTGAAGTTTTCGTAGAGCTAGGACATGCACCATTTGGGAATAAATTAGTCAAAACAATTACAATTTCTTCATTTCCAGAGTTCATAGTTCCTTTTATGTAGGAATGGATTCAAAGAAATGGAGAAGAGCTTTTTTTTTTATTTCTTTTGGGGGGAGGGGTAATGTTTTCCACCATTCTCTTGTAATACTTATATCCCCTCTTCTGAATAACAGGCAAATCTTCTCAATTTCAGTTCTGTATCTACCAACCCATCATTCCGAAGTTGTAGGAGAAGTGGAAGGACTGGTGGTTATCATGGAATTTGCTTTACAACAAGAGCCAAGGTGGGTATTGAAGGAGATGTGATTGAGAAAGATAAAGAGCCAATTGAAGTTGACGTTGAGAATGGTATGCTTTCATAGTGTAAATGTTTGCCTCGTTACACCTGCATCTTAAGCTTCTCAATCACTCTTGTGGAATAAATTTGACCTCTTGGTCTGGGGCAGTGTGGAAGATGTCAAGAATTTGAAGGGGAAAAAGAGCATTATCAAATTTTAACGATTAAGATGTTGATCATGTACCATTTTACACTCATATAGAGTACATATAGCTGTCCTCTATCTTTTGTTTGGAGATATATTTACTGAGTTTGAATGAACTACAGATTATGGAGCTGTTGGCGTTCACCATGTCGGGGTGCTTTGTGAGAATCTTGAGAGGTCACTTCACTTTTATCTAAATATTCTAGGTAAGGCGATTCTACGTGGATCACTGTGTTCGTGTGGAATATTCGTGGGAGACATAAATTTAAACGAAAAATTTCAACTGAAAAACAGGTCTTAAAATAAACGAGGCAAGGCCACATGATAAGCTTCCTTATAGAGGTGCTTGGCTGTGGGTGGGTTCTGAGATGATTCATCTAATGGAACTTCCAAATCCTGATCCTTTATCTGGACGACCTGAACATGGAGGCCGTGACCGTCATACTTGTATTGGAATTAAGGATGTATCGAAGTTGAAAGTGATCCTCGATAAAGCTGGTAGAAGTCTTCCCTTAACAAAGCTGAAAATTTTGTTACTTTTCACATTTCAAGACTTATAAATGATAGAATTACGGTTATTAATTTTTAGCCCATGTTTTCCCACTGAGTTATGCAGGTATTCCCTATACGCTTAGCCGATCAGGAAGGCCTGCAATATTTACAAGAGATCCAGATGCAAATGCTTTAGAATTTACACAAGTGGATGACTAATTCAGTTCTTATCAAATAAACTCTTTTTATCAACATCTATGAGCTTCCATTGCCCGTGAAGCACCTAAGGATCTTCAGATCACTGAAAAGGTCAGTTGCAATATACTATGGTCTGGGAGGGACAAATAACACGATATCTTCTTGCAAGGAAACAAGAATATGATTAAATGTATGCATGTCATGTACAAATGAACTAGTAATATGCTATAAATGTCTAAACTGGGCATCTTCTCTTCTGTAAAGATTATCTCTATATTTTTTTCCCCCTTTTTATTAAGTCAATATTAATGGTGTCTTGGAGTTTTACTGATATAGAGGAAGCTGTCGGTATTGTTTTTAACCTTCAAAGGATAGTTAAGAAAATAAAGGCTAAATTTCACGTTAGTGGCTAAATAAATAAAATTCACTGCTAACATCGCTTCTCATATATAAAAGGGAGTTGGTAGTGATTTTGATAAAGAAATCAGTTCAAATCAGAAAGTATCATGAAGTATTGAAGAAAAAACTGTGCTACTGAAACCAAAATGATCAAACTGTTCATAATCTTCATGTACCATGTGGGAAAAGGAAATAAGAGGCTGTTGTTATCATATATATATATTTATATGAATAGGGCGAGAGAGACAGAGAGAGAGAGCCTAAACTTGGTATTGAGATACGGTAAAGACTGGTGACAGAAAGAGAGAAAGCACGCAGAATATCTTGCACGAGCAAACATGCAAGAAAATAATCATGCGTGCTCACTCTCTTCTGTCACCTTCCTTAACACTTTAGACAAGGATTACCTGCTGTTTGTTGAGCAAAGTTTCCTTCAACCATTAAGTTCCACTGGAGAAGGATGATAAGGAGTTACAGAAACAGAAATTTGGATGGTTGATCTGATTGCATATAAGGGCAACACTAATTACTGATATTTATAATGGAGAAGGTTACTTGCGTTCCGTATTAAAATAACATAATAAGCTTGTGCTTTAAACTCTTATTGGTCTCCCTCTCCTAAGGTTCTGCTTGAAAGTATTTACACCAACTGGTTGGGGAGTGAAGTGGGGAATGGGAATTGGTAGGTCAGGGAACTGGATTATACTTGTCAATTGGATCCGATCCAAAATTTATGTTCTTTATGAAGTTGTTGCAATAAAATTGTTAATCCTTTAAAGATACTAATACCTTTTCATTTGTTAAAAAGGAAAGAAAGGAAGAACAATAATCGTTCTAGTCCTCAATGTTCAGGCCTTGTCCTCTCCACTTTTTTTTGTTTTTTTTTTGGGAAAGCTTTTTGTACCCTCTACTGATCTCATAGTATTATATGATTTCTTAGTATCTATTGTCAAAAATTAGTAGGATGTTAATGTGTTGTGTAACCTTTAATGTATAGCTTTAAAATACTGAAGCTTACAGGAAGTGGATTGTAGAAACCCAATCGTCAGAGCATTGGATAAGGTATTTCTAGAATATAATGAGATAGATTTGATGTATTATTGACGTAATGTTGATAAAGAATTAAACAAAAATCTTGGGGAGTTTTGTATAGTCAATATATTGATTGTGCCATTAAATAATGTGTTTTACCAGTGGGGGATTATTAATTTCGCTTATAGCTGTCTCTTTAGACCATGTAAAAGTAAATAAATAAAGGAAGAATACTGATCAAAGTAGGATTATAGTTAAATGTATCATGTGTGACCAATGCGGTGCTGACAGAGAGCAAGCAAGTAATAATAATTTAAAGAGATAATAATGAACTTGTATGTCACATTAAGACAACTTTGACGAAAATGGGGAGACAGCATTTATTCTTTAGGATATAAAGCAGGTAAAATTGTGCCAACTTCCATAAACCTATTCCCATAGAAATCATCTTTCTGACTGCCTTCCTAAATTGAAAATCTGAAGAAAAGTAGTTGGATGGATTTGGAATATTTGGGAGCACATTGAAAATTCATCATTACTCGTTTTATTGACTGTCTTTGAGGTGATTGCTGTGTCTGCTGAGGTATGATAGCTAGTTGTTAAACATAAATTCCTATTGAGTAGAGACATTTTACAGCCTTTGATTGGTAGAGTTGGATTCTGAGTGCCAAGGCCTGCGCCTTGGTCAAGGATTGAACTGCAGAAGTGCTGAGATGAGCTCATTCTCTATAAAGAAAATGAAACTGTTAATGGAAAAGCTTAGGAGCTGGCTTACTCAGTTGAATTGCTTTAATCAGCTCATTACTAATCTTAGAAGAGCCTAGAAGCTCCCTGATCGGATAGGCTCGGTGGAGGGAGCTCATGAGTTGAATTGTTGCGAACGAAATGAATGGGGTGCTTCAGAAGAAGCGATTTGTTATGATTAGATGATGACTTCATTTTCTCAGTTAGATTCTTGGATATAAACTCAGGCTCATGAAAGAGCTTTTTAAACTTTTTTCTCTTAATTTGGGTAGCTGGATGCGAGTCCATGTTCTTGAAAGTGTAGAAGCTTATTTATTCGACCGAGTTGGTTGGTTGAGCTGACTCACTGGGACCGGAAGAATCTCAGCTCACAAGTTCATAAATAAGCTTGGCTCGAGTTTGATTTTGTCCATCTTTTAGTCAGTTTTGAAGATTTTTTGAATGGTCAATTCAGTTTTGTGAAAGTCAATTTTTCAATTGGAATTTTGTTTTTTCGCAACTCTACTTTTGTGCAAGTGTTGGCTAAAAGTATAATCGTGACAATACTATCCATCCCCCACCAAATATACTATTTTGGAACGTGGCTCGTCCCGTTGCCATAATAGTGTTCAAGACAGTTTAAATGCTATTTTGATCCATTTATTTTCAATTTTGATTTATTTTAGTATGTATTTTTAACTTTTATTCATTTTAATCTCTATATTTTAAAAAGTTCACTTTAATAAATGTGCTTTAAAAAAACGATCATTTTAATATTTATTTGTAACTTTTTAAAACAAATTTTATATACAAATGGAAACTCCACTAAAAAAAATTTGATATACTAATGAGTTAAAGTGTGAAATGAGACAAGATGGTCATTTTTAAAATTACATGGACCAACCATTCAAAGGTATAGAAACTAAAACAAAATCAGCGTTGAAAATAGTGACATTTTAATTAAAAGTAAAAAACCAAAATTGAAAATTCAAGAATCAAATTAGCATTTAAACATTTTCAAAACCTTCACACAAATCCTTACAAAAAACCACATGATCGACTTGTTACATCTTGAAGGTTAAAGATTTAATGAATATGAAGCTTCTAAGTTAAATCTAATAGTATTAGTATAAGATCATCCATTTAAACACCTTTTTTGTTGACAAAATTGTATTAGTAATATACATGACTCATTTGAACAATTGCTGTCCACTACTGAAGATCAAATTATCATGTTTCTACTGAAAAACCTGGAATGGATATCTGATTATACCAACAGGTGAACAGGCAAATAAAGCACATGCTGGAGCAAAATGTATGCAATTGTCCATAGTACAAAACAGAAATTGAAAAGCCAGCACAAGTAAAAATGATCTGCGGAACATTATACATTATCCGGCAAAGTTTTTTTTTTCTCTCATACTCCAGAAGTTTAGTGCTTAGTGCTTTGCTGTTGACGCAGAAGAACAAAATAAAGAAAGGGTGCATCTTCAATCCTAGCCACCATTAAAAAATGACCAATATCTTTCTCTGGTTCACAGTTCAAATCAAAACAGAAACAAATCCAACTATAGCAGTACAAGCCCAAGTTCACTAGGTTTCAAAGCGTGCCGAAGTCGATAATTATACAGGTAATAGTGCAGTTGGCCATCGCCCGGACCGAATTTTAGTTCCTTCAGGAAGGACTCATTCTCCATGACATCCAATGCATTGAAGACATCAAAATCCTTCTGTTTTGCAACAATGAGAGCATCATTCATCAACTGTAACAATGGGGTTTTGGTGGAGACATTGTAATATGAATAAGCGGCCTTCAAGGTGGAGTATGTTTGGTTTCCAAGAATTGATGAAGGGAGAGTGTAGAAGCTGCAGAAGTCAGTGACTTCACGAGAATACTGACTCTCAACCAAGAAACTGTCCACTACACTCTCCTTTGGAAGAAGCCAATGCTCTACATCAGTTTCATCAAAATCTGGTGCAACAGCAAACTGGCTTAAGTAGTTCCTAAGCAACCTAGTAACAGCAGGTACGTCGCGAAGTTCCATCTTTCGAAACCCTGGGGTAACTGGAGAATCTGGTAACTTGTAAAGTTTTATGGTTCGACTCATCGTCATCCTCGCCCCAAGCCTCGAGAACCCGACATCAATAAGCTTCTTCGGGTTTAAAGATCTATGCCAGTATTGGCAAGTGGTTATTGGAGTTGGAAGAACAACTCCAGCCGTGTAAGCTGCCTGCCATATATTTTCCAGGTGAACCCTTCTTGTGACCTCTTTGATCATAACAGGAGCAAGTCTCTTGGACCTAAGCTTCTTATGAACGCATAAGAAATTGATCTCTGCCATCTTCACAACTTCGCCGCGCACCCGAATTCTGGCGGGGACGCCACTGATGAAAGCAACCAACTTCTTCGAAGCTTTAGCACGAACACCAATGTGCCAGCTCGTGAAGTAACCCGGAGGCCGCAAAGCCCATCCAAGAAACTCCTTGGAATAGTTGAATCTGAACAAGTTTTCATCATCTTCAACATAGTTGTTCTTCAAGAGATTGTACACCTCCAAACAAGTCTCATCAGAATCCATGTCGCAGGTGGTCCATTCATAGGAACTAGGAAGATTATAAGGCTCTTGTTTGACCTCAGATAATGGGGTTGGGGCTTCAATTGGCCCATCAGGCAAACTAGAGTCCCCAACGTCCTTGAATTGCCCAACAGGTTGAGTTTCCCAGAATTTGTGCCTTTTTCCAATGGACATGGAGTCTTGAATCCTACGAACCATGCTCTCCAATGAGCCATCGTCTTTGGTGACTTGGCCTGCTTCGTTTTCCTGGTCTGGGTTTTCCTTTGGAGATCCTGGAGAAGTGTTGTTATCGTCCATCTCGACAGAATAATTTAACCGTGACAATCAATGGCTGTAATCGATCCGAGTCACCTGACAAACTTCAAGCTTTAAAATTCTTCGAATAAAAAACCCTCCCACAACAGAAATTTCAAAGTCAAATAAGGAAAAATCAATAGCGAACTAGGTGGGAGGATCTGAACTCGAGTGATCTTCAGGAGCTCAATAAACAAAAACAGAGTAAACAATCAACAGATCTTCCAATGCTACAACACAATTCACAAATCCTAAAATCTATTTCTGGGAAACGAAATAAAGGAAAAGAAAAGAGATCTACGACAGATTATGAAACAATATGATGAATTGGAATGAGAGGAGTGGCACCTGAAGAAGAGAATAAGGTGGGCGAGAAACTTGTGGGGAGAGAGCATCAGATCCTGACCGCAGAGGTGGAATTTGGTTGCGAGACGAAAATGGCTATTAGGGTTCTTTATTTGTTTGTTTGTTTTTCTTCAAAGTCCAATTTTCTTCTTTTCTACTTTAATAACATGGCTGGCTGATGTTCTACTCTATCAAAATCGGCATTGGAGATGCCGATGGGCTTTCGATGATCGCGAGGAGGGCCTTCGTTCCTTTCTGATTTGGGCCTCAATCTTGCTCCATTAACCACTCAAATTTAGGGTTTCTTTCTTTCTTTTTCTAATTTAATTTTTGAATGAAACAATATACTTTAAATATCTTTCAAAATCATATAGCCAATAAATATTTTTTTATTTTTTATTTTTTTTATAACATTAGCATAAGAATTTGAACTTTAACATTCTCGAAAAAAATATAAATGTCTAAATGTTAGTAAGGGATATCTTTTTTCATGGACAGGTCTGGCCCGACGGAACTGAATAAAATTTTGTCCCTGTCACCTAAATAAAGATTAGGATGGGGAATATGTTCCTCTTTCCATGTCCTATTCTGTCTAATCGTCACCTTCCTTTTCTCCCTCTCGAAACTAACATGCATTTTTTATTTGTCCATGACAAATATCACTAAATGACAAAATCGAATATATCATTATGGTTTTTTTAATGATGTTTTAAAAAAAGATGGAATCCTTTGTTATTCTAAATTCTCTTGTGCCTTTTATTTTTTAGACTTATTTATAATTTGAATTTTGTTGTATTATGAATTACAAGATGTCTATAAAATGTTAATTTATTTTTTCAAATGCAGATTCCTCCTACAAATTTAACCATCTAAATGTAAATTTAGATCTACAATTAAATTTTAATTTATAATTTATAAAAATAACACTATTGGAAGATCATAAAATTTCATACAATTTTGCAAGGATGGATAATTAAATAGGGATGGGTTAGGGAGGTCAACAGTCTTAGATTTTTTTTTAAGCAGGTCAATTAGATATGCTTAAGTTGCCATAATATTTTTGTAATCTAAGGATAAATATATAAATAAGTTTATTCAATTAACAATTTATTTTGTTAAGAAAAAAATCAATCAATTTTTCTATTGAAATATAACTAATATCATGCTCACATCTCATCCGATAATTTTTCTCTTCTGCACGACTGCTCAAATAAAATCATACATTGTTAACTGACCAATTAAATAAATTGTATCGTTATATTTGACTTTAGCGATAAAAAATAATAAAATTCGTTTCATTAAAATTAATTTCAAATTAGAAAAAAATATCTTTTATGTGTTTTTTTCCTTACATAATACATTAATCTTTAATGATTTAAAATGTGGAGCTAACCCTCTTTTGGATTTTTTTAACACTGTGAAATTTTTTTTAAACTATTTTAAAACATATTATAGTTTTTTTTACGTGACGCGAGATAGGACCTTGTTTAAATGACTGTCTGACATAGTTAAGTAATTTTAGAGATTAAGATCCAATCGCCTCAACTCAAGTCAAAAACCCTGAGAAACATCAATCACGCAAACTTCTATATTCCATCGATTCGCCCACATGCTGTCACTTAAAACCAGCCAACTATAGCCTCAACCAATAGAATTGCTGCAAAGAACTCGAGGAATGCCAAGAGAGTTCCTACGAAAAGAGACTACATCATCATGTATTAGCTAAGCTCCACTCGACATAAGCATTTTCATGGACAATATCATGGAGAATAAAATATACAATATTTTAAAAAATAATTATATTTAAATAATTATTTATTTTTTTAACAATATTTAAAACGAAAAGTCTCATTTCTTTTAGCATGGGGGAAATTAGACTAGTATATAAAAGAAATATTTTTTACAAATTATTTTTTCAGTAAAAATAATTTTCGCTGCGACATGTCGTTTGTTAATTGCCCTCTACCTACTGCATTCATCGGCCTCACGATTCAGTTCAGGCAATTGATTTACTAAATTCCTCCGGCAAGCCGTCTTCTGATCGTCCGGCGCAATTTACTGGTGCTAAGACCGTCGCAACCGAGTTCATAGATTGGTCATTTTCGTTCTAAGCAAATATTTGAGATACTGGAGAAGGAGCTATAGCAAGCGCCAGTCAAATGTCAGCGGACGCGACGAATTGGGACGAAGATGCCTACAGAGAGAGTATTTTCAAGGAGAGAGAGGTGCAAACTCGGACTGTGTTCAGAACTGCATGGGCTCCCTCTTTAAATGGTGGTCCCGAGACAATCGTGGTCGCCTCCAGTGATGGATCCATTGCCTCTTATTCTATCGCTTCCTGCATCTCTAAGCTGGTAATTTTCTAAATTATTTTTAATCTTATGCTCATTTTTATTTTCTACCCGTATTTGAACGGTGTGGAATGTTTAAGGAGGTTCTTCGAGTGCTTCTTTGTCCAGATTATTTGGAAGATGTATTTTCTTTTATTTTTTGTTGGATAAGAAACTAATTTCACTGAATAAATTAGATTACAAGAGGGAGGGGAGGAAAAATTGAAGTTTGAAGCCAAGGAAGATTTTAAGAGTTCTTCTAAATGGCAGGAAGAGAGCTTAAATGATAATTACGGAAATAATCACAAAACTTGAATCAAGTAGGAGCAAGAATGATATTGTCCAAAAAACAGTCAAAAGACTTTTCAAGGTGGCTCAAGAGACTATTACAACCTTAAACAGGATATGTTCTATAGATTGTACCTCTGTGTCGTTGGGTTCTAAAGTGGCTAAACAGACTATTGTTTCTCCTAATCCACAAATGCACAAAAATGCTATAGCTAGCTGCAACCAAAGGATCTTATTCCTCTTAAAAGGATGAGCATCGAGAGTGAGAGAGAGGAGGTCCTTCGTAGGACATTGAGAACCTTTGGAAGAGTGGATATAGGACGTACCCAACTAATGGACATCCAAAGAGACATCAGACTTACCATAATGAAGTTCCTCCAAAGAGCTTCTCTGGGTAGTTGGATTTGACTTTGAAAGGTTCATTATTTTTTCTTATTCATTGCTTCATAGTTGTTACTTGTGCTCAATGTAGATATTCACGATGTTATAAAGGTCGATCAAATTGTTAAGGAATTAGGATTATAGGATTCAAATTCTTTCCATTTCCAAATTGAAACTTAGTTTTAATGGTTTATTTTATGATCGCCCAAGTCCATCTCAAAATTTTATCACGAGCTGCCCAGTACTTATCACTTCTTACAATTGATTGATTCAAATGATATTTAATTAATGAAGCAAAAGAAGTTAATTTTTGTGTATTTGCTGTTCAGTACTTACCATCTTACGAGGTTTATTTTATGATCACTGAAAAGTTCCTCTTTCTTCTTGATTGGTAATTTAGTAGTTCTGGACTAGGTATGTCGTGTGTTGTATTTCTTTATAGTTTAGTACTTCAAACTCCTATCCTGATTACACCTCTTTTTCATGCCTGTTTCAGCATTTTGGTTATAGCAATGCTAAAAGGCAAGTCCATTTGATCGTTTGTTCTCAATTCATTTCTAAATTTCGTGCTGCAAACTTGTACTTATGGTTCACTTTGTGCCTTACTCTAGTTTTCTGGCAGCAGAGCCTCATTGCTTCCTTCAAGGGCATGATGGGCCTGCATATGATGTCAAATTTTACGATAGTGGCGACAATACTTTATTACTGAGGTTTCTCTCTCTCTCTCAATACTACAATAGTTTGAAGACGTTACACTTGTTAGATGATTTCTTTTCTCTTTCATTTCTTGACAATTTTTTTATTGTTCCATATTCTTGTGAGATATTGGCTATTTTTCAGTTATCTCGATGCTGATTCTAATGTTAATTTAAATATGAATGAATTTGTATACTTATTAATTAACTAACTTAATAATGAGGCAACATTATAGTTTGGTTTAGAATTAGTTTAGTGTTATTTTCAGAAATTTAGAACCAGTTGGAGCAGAATACAGTTGAGACCGATTGGTTGTTTTGTGCTCTACACTGTTCAACTAAGTTTAAGTTCCGGTTGATTTTCTTGCAAAATGCAAGAACATGCCAAGTTCGACCATTCTGCTTAGTAGTTCTTTTGTTGGTGACCCATCATGACTATGTCTCTAGATGATGAATCCATTAGGTACTTGTTGGATCTTTAATACATAAATTGCCTAAAGTCTGTACCCATATTTTTCTTAAATTTATTTGACTTGTACTTGTTTGAGCTTCAACGACTCCCTAAATGCTTTGATTAAATAATAAAATTATACCTACAGCATGTAAACTTAAACGGCAAGTTGCATGGAAAACTTGCACTGGTCTTGATTAAAATATCTGATTAGCCGTGCACAACATTTATAGCTGTGGGGACGATGGTCACATTCGAGGATGGAGGTGGAGAGAATGTACTGATATAGAGATGCCTATTTATTTCCAAGGTAATAGTTTATCGTCTCTTATCTGTAGTTTTATAGGTTTCGTGACCCCTTGAGCAGGGGCTGCATTTTATTTTATAGGTTTCTTTGGCTGTTTGGAAATTCTATTTTCTTGTTGTTTTCTCACTCCTTTAAAATTTAGGTTTTGACTTGGTGTATTGTTTTAATTGCTATAGTTGCTATAATTTCTTCTTTTCTTTCTTTTTATTCCAGGTAGTCATATTGAGCCTGTCATGGACCTGACGAATCCTCAATACAAGTAGGTTAATCACAAATATTTGATATTTTTTCCTTAATTTTTCTTAGTATTCTTATTCAACCTGTAGTTGACCTGGTGGATTCTCAAAATGAGCTGGTTGCCAAAAAATATATACACTCTACTATGTGCATTTATTCAATTTAATATCCCGTTCATAATATTATACAAAAAGGAGAACACTGGTTTGCCTTGCTTTTATGGTTTCCTAATATTATTTTTTTAATTATTAATTTTTTTTATGAATAAAAAACAAACGTTAATACTTGATTTATGCATCTGGAACCTTCCATTTCGAAGATCAATCTCAATTCTCAAGCATTGTCCTTTTGACTTCTTAATTAGAACTTTATGTAATCATCTAGATTCTTAATACAGCAGCCACGCTTGGAAGATGGTTAACATATAATGCAGAGATGCTTTTATTATTTTCTATAGATTTTATGACTTATGTTTCACCTAATTTAATATAGACTTTACGATGTAACTTTATACTTGACTTATCTCATATTTATAAAAAAAGTAGACTATAGAATAGATATGGATTTATTTTTTCTTAGTGCACTTGATCATCTTTATTACTCATTCTTTTTAAATGTATCTTATTGCTGTCTTCTAGAGGTCCTTGGGGTGCTCTTTCTCCAATCCCCGAAAATAATGCAATTGCTACTGATGCCCAGGTTAATGGATCTGTTATTTTCCCCACTTATTCTA